TCTGACCCTTAAAAACAATATAAATATTCTACTACACGAAACAATAACAACGTTCTTTTCTTTCCTCGAATCAAATTTCATTACTTACAGAAAATGAATTGATTTTCAAAAATTAATAAATTAACCCCTACGATCCGAGTGACGCAAACGTCCCCTTATGGAAAAATCTGGGTCGAGGGCTGGACGACAAGATCATGCCGTCATCAGATAAAATGGTCGTGGGCCACATGGCGCGAACTTGCCGTCGTGGGCCAGGAAAAAAGACTCGCCACAGGCGTGCAACCCTCTTAGAGCGTGATTAGACTCCCTCGGCACTTTGGCACGGATGTGGAATGACGAGACTTTAACTTCATTCCCATCCATGAATGTGGAAAGAAGATTCTTTAGCTTCATTCCCGTCGATAAACAAATGTGGAATGTAACGTGCATAAGCGCCAGCTCTAGGGAGTGTGCCAATTCTTTCTTTCTTTCTTTCTTCTTCTCTTTCCTTTCTTTCTTTCTTTTTTCTTTTTTTTGAAAATTACAAAAAAATATGCTACAAGACACAAAAGACCATATATTCCATATTATGAGAAAAGAGAGAGGGAGAGAGAGAGAGAGAGGAGCGAGAGAGAAAGAAAGAGAGAGGAGAGAGGAGAGAGAGGAGAGAGAAGAGAAGAGAGGAGAAGAGAGAGAGAAAAGAAAGAAAGAAAGAAGAAAGAAAGAGAGAGAAGAGAAGAGAGAGAGAGAGAGAGAGAGAGAGAGAGAGAGAGAGAGAGAGAGAGAGAGAGAGAGAGAGAAGAGAGAGATATCTGACCCTGAGATCTCCACGACACAACCAGATCCAAATCAAACAAATCAAATTAAATTTCCTAAAATCCAATTCCAATCCAATTCCCCTAAATCAAATTAATTCACCTTCTGATAAACTCAATTAACCCATTGGTCGCGGTATTATGCAATATGGCGCGTGATCCCCTAATTTTAATTATTTTCAACTCGGGTGGCGCATGGGACCGCACTTGAGTGTGCGGCGCGCAGTGGTGCTGCCTTCCCTCTTTCGCGCAAATATTTTGTTTACTTATATCTCTGAAAAAATAAGTATGCAAAAATCTGCAAAAATTTGCAAAAACCCTTGCAAATACATGCAAACATGCAAACATATGTAAATGCGCTCAGAAAGAGTGGCGGGCGTGGTTTTAGCACGCGCAATAGGCGAACAACTCATTTGGCGGTAAACAGCCCATCGCACACGCGGGCCCGGGGGTGGTGGGCCTGGGCCCTGTAAGGCCGAAAGGGGAATGCCGGCTTGGCGGCTGATATTCCCTGGCCCACTCAGCTCCCATGCCGCGCGGCCGCCCGCTGCTCGAAGGGGATCAGCTGTCAATTGCACAGTGCATCATATGATGCCATCCGCAGCCAGTGGGTTAAAATACCATAAATCACATTATAAAATTCATAAAAAATCTAAAAAAAGAGTTGTAATTCTAAAGAAAGATTTTCATTTTTATTTCTTTTCTACCTGTTCATTTTCTTCGAAGATTGTAGAGTCATAAAGAGGAAAATTCTTTTAAATCCCATTAAATCACCCGGTCTCCTTCACAAATTACAAATATAATCACATGAATTTAATCGTTATCTGATTCTTCAATCTTACAAGAGAGAGAGAGAGAGAAAAAAAAAAAACAATAATAAATAAAGAAAGAAAGAAAGAAAAATAATAATCAATTAAAAAAATAACAATAATTCTTCAATCTTTAAAAAATAAAAAATAAAAAAAATTATTTATTAGAAAAAAAAAAAGAAGATGAAGAAGAAGAAGAAGATAAAGAAGAAAAAGGAGAAGAAGAAAGAGAAAAAAAAATAATAATAATAATAATAAGGAGAAAAAAAAAGAAAAAAGAAGAAGAAAAAGAAGAAAAGAAAAAGAAGGAGAAGAAGAAGAGAAGAAAATAAGAAGAAAAATAATAAAATGATAAAGAAGAAAGAAGGAGAAGAAAACAGCTCTCTTTCTTTTCAAACTACAATTCTATTCAAATGAACTAAACCAACTTTTTTTTTTATTATTTCTATTCTTTATTACCTTATTATTTATCATACATTATTCATTATCTGTTATCATTTTCATTATCATTTCATCTTTATCATCTTTATTATCTATTGACTTTTTGTTATCATCTGTTTTATTATTATTATTATTATTATTATTATTATTATTATTATTATTATTATTATCCTATTTTCATTATCTACTCTATCATTCTCTTATTTTTCTATTCTATCTATTTTTCTATTTCATTACCACTTTATTATTATCTTTATTATCATTTTATTTATATTATTTTCATTATTATTGTCATTATTTTTATTAATTTGCTTTATCATTAATTAACAAGTAACTGATTATCGATTGGATATCTTTTAATCAATTCTTAATTAATGAATCAATTAGTGAATAATAAAACACCAAATAATAAATTTATAGATAAATAATAAAATAAAGAATAATAAGAGAATAATAATGATAATAAAAATAATAAGAACAATAAAAATAATAAAAGTGAAATAATGATAAAAATAATAAAAAGTTTACGCAATAAAAAATAAATTCAAAATGGTAATAGAAATAATAACAAATTAATAGTAATAATAACTATAAATAGACAATAACTAATAATAATAATCATAATCATTGATAAAAATAATAAAAATTTATCAATCTTCATTTCTCCTTTCCTTTCTCCTTCCTCCTTCTCCTTCCCTTCTCCTCTCCTTCTCCTTCTCCTTTCCTCTCTTCCCTTCTCCTCTCTCCTTCCCTTTCTACCTTCCTTTCTCCTCCCTTTCTCTTTCCTCTTCCTTTCCTCTCCTCTCCTCTTCCTCTCTCCTCTTCCCTCTCCTCTTCCTCTTCTCTTCCTTCTTTTCGTCTTTCTCTTTCCTTACCACCCCACCATCCACTCCACCTCCACCCACCTCCACCTCCCACCTCCACCTCTCACCCATCCACCTCCACCTCCACCTCCTTCTCCTCCTCCTCTCCTCCTGCTCCTCCTCCTCCTCCTCTTCCTTCTTTTCCTTCTGCTCCCTCCTCTTCCTTCTTTTTCTTCTCCTCCTCCTCCTCCTATTCTTCTTTCTTCTCCTCCGCCTCTCTCCTCCTTCTTTTTCTTTCCTCCTCCTTCTCCCCTTCTCCTTCCTCCTCCTCCTCGCGCGCCTCCTTCTTCTCTTGGCTTCGTGCCTGTCTGGGTCGGTTCTTCTGTGGTTCTGTGCTCTGTGCTTCTGTCTTGGCGTGTGGCTGTGGGTCGGTGGGTGGGGTGTCGTTCTCCTCCTCTCGCTCTTCTTTTCTCTTCCTATACTTCTCTCTCTGCTTCTCACGACCCTCATCTCATCCCGCCACTCTTTCTGTCATCCTTTTTTCTCTTCTCTTGTGATCATTGTCTTCTACCTCGCCTGCTCCATGCCTCTCTCTCTTTCCTATGTCTCCGTCTGCAGCGATCATCTCTACTCTTCTCATCTCTTACCTCCTCTCCTCGTCATGTGATTCGTTCATACGCGCGTACTCCCCTCCTCGGTTCGGTCCCTGCGTTCAGGCAGTGCTTCACAGTTCTACCTTCTTCGTCCCAATGACTCGGGACTAGTCCTTCTTTATGATTCTCGGCTATCTACTTCTCTTTTCTTCTGCTTTCTTCGTCCGTACGCCTCGCCTCTCTCCCTGCTCTTCCTCTTTACCTGCTACTCGACCAGTCCAACTCTGATCCATCTACTCACGTTTCTGACCACTAGCTAAACTCCTCTCTCTTATGGCTCTTCTTTCTTTCTGGCTCTTCTTCTCTCTTTTCGTTCTTTCGTTGGACCTTTTCTCGTCACTTCCATGACGTGTTCTCCGCGGACGTCCCTGCCAATCCTACATATGTCAGTGGGTGTGCGCCTGACCACCTCTCTTCTTCCTTTCCCCCTCTTTTTTCTCCTATTCCTCTTTTCTTCTCTCTACCTCTCTCTCTTTTTTCTCTTTCTTTCTCTTCTCTCTCTTCTCTTTTCTCTTCTCTCTTCTCTTCTACGTTCTTCATTTTTTTCTTTCTTCTCTTTTCTCTTTTCTCTGCTCTTCTCTTTTCCTTTTCTTCCTTTTTCTCCTTCCTCTTCCTCTTCTCATTCTCTTCCTTCTCCTTCTTCTCTCTTTTATCTTTTTTATCTCTCTTCTTCTCTTCCTTCTTTTTCTCTTCTCTCTCGTTCTTTCTCTCTCTCTCTTTTCCTCTTTTTCTCTTCTTTTTTTTTTTTCTCTTTTCTTTTTCTCTTCTTCTTCCTTCTCTTCTCTTTCTTCTCTTCTTTCTCTTTTCTTTTCTTCCCTCCTTCTTTTTCTCTTCCTTCTCTCTCTTCTCTTATTTCTCCTCTTTTCTTCTCTCCTTCTGCTTCTTCTTTTTTCTCCTTTCTCTCTTTCTTTCCTCTTCTTCTTTTTTTCTCTTTTCTCTCTTCTTCTCTTTCTCTTCACCATTTTTTTTCCTTTTCCTCTCTATTCCTCTCCTTCTTCTTTCTCTTTTCTTTCTTCTCCTTCTTCTTTTTCTCTCTTTTCTCTTCCCTTACTTCTTCTTTTTCTCTTCCTTCTTTTTTCTTCTTTTTTCTTTTCTCTTTTCTTTTTCTCTCTCTTTTCTCTTTTCTCTCTTTCTTCTTCTTCTTCTCTTCTCTTTCTTACTTCCGCTCTCCTCTTTCATTCTTTCTTCTCTCTCTTCTTTTTTTCTTTCTTTTCTCTCTTCTCTCTCTTTCTCTCCTTCTTTCTTCTCTCTTCTGCGTTTCTATCCTTATTTTTCTTCTCCTCTCTTCTCTCTCTTCTTTTCTTCTCTCTCCTCTTTTCCTTCTTTCTTTCTCTTCTTCCTACTTCTCTATCTTCTCTTCTTTCCTCTCTTTCTCTTTCTTCTTCTCTTCTCTCTCTTCTTCTTCTCTTTCTCTTCTTCTTCTCTCTCTCTCTCTCTGTTCTCTCTCTTCTTCTTCTTCTCTCTTCTCTCCTTTTTCTTCTTTCTTCTTTCTTCTACTCTTCTCTCTCTTTCCTCTCTCTTTCTCTTCTCCTTCTCTTTCTCTCTCCTTCTCTTTTCTCTTTCTTCTCTTCCCTCTTCTTCTCTTTCTTCTCTCTTTCTTCTTCTCTTCTTCCGTTCTCTCTTCTTTCTCCTTTTCTCTTCTCCTCCTCATTCTTCTTTCTTTCTTCCTTCTCCTCTTTTCTCTCTCTTCTTTTCTCCTCTCTCTCCTCTTTCTTTCTCTTTTCCTCTCTTTTTCCTCTTTTCCCCTTCTCTCTCTTCTACTCTCTCTCTCTTTCCCTTCTTCTTCTTGTCTTATCTTCCCTCTTCTTCTCTTCTCTTCTTCATTTCTTCCTTCTCTTCTTTTTCTCTTCTTCTTCTTCTTCTTCTTCTTCTTTCTTTCTTTCTCTTCTTCTTCTTCTTCTTCTTCTTCTTCTTCTTCTTCCTCCTCCTCTCTCCTCCTCCTCTTCTTCCTCCTCCTCCTCCTCCTCCTCCTCCCTCCTCCCCTCCTCCTCTCCTCTCTCCCTCCTCCTCCCTCCTCCTTTTCTTCTTCTTCTTCCTCCTCCTCCTTCTTTTTCTTCTTCTTCTTTCTCCTCGTGTATTTTATCACAAATATTGTTATACATAATAGCATAGATATCGTCATAAGCGTCATCAGAATATCAAAATTAAACTTAAAAATTGTCAAGATTCTATAAAATAACAATGTACTGACATCCATATAATTATACATATTGGCATAGATATTGCCCTACAGTATAAATATAAATATATTATTATATAAGTAGCCCCAAATATCATTCTATAAAATAACAAACATTGTATTGACACCAATATTCTTATACGTATTGGCATAGATATTGTCCTACAGTATAAATATAAATAAATATATCATTATATAAGTAGTCACAAATACCATTGTATTTGTTGCCATAAATGGTCGTAGACGCTGCCACATAGACTTGCTTTTAATATCGTAAATAGTTTCATAAACATCGTCATAAATGTTACCATAGAATTGTCCTAAATACTGCACAGAAATGAAATAAATATTGCCATAGCATTAATAATAATAATATCTATGATAATGCCATACCTTTATCATAAATATAGCCATTGAATTATCATAAATATTGCCAAAGAAATGTTATCGATAGAATTCTCATAATTACTGCCATAGAAATATCATAAACATTGCCAATAAATCCTGTTATATTCATCGCCATATATATAATCATGAATGTTATCATAAACATCACCATGAACATTGTTATAAACACGTCATACAAATTGCAAAAGTATCAGCATGAATATTACGATAAACATCAAGAATATCGTCAAGCAAACGGCCTTAAACAGTCATAAGTATCACCACAAATAGAAATCAATGTGATGATAAATAAATAATTAGATTAATTGATATGAATATTACCATAAAGATTAACAGAATCATCGCCATAAATACTATCTGAATATTCTTCTCTTCTCTTTCTTTTCCTCTTTCATTGGCCCACTTCCCATTCCCCTGTTTCTCCTCATCCTTCCTATTCTTCCTAGCATAAACAATCACGTACTTATGGATTTACGTTCACATATTTCACAAACGACGTCATCATTCCTTGATGTTCATAGGTTTCATGAATGATGTCGAAATAATCCTTTACCTTGACGTTTCATAGATATTCTCATATCTTTAACCTTGACTTATTTCTTAAATATCGTCACAGTGCTTTTACGTTCACATATTTCATAAGTCTCAAAGTAATCCTGTCGTATACTCACACCGTTAAAATTACATACTGTCATTATAACTGCCACGAATGCTGTCATAAAGAGTCACAATAAATGTCAAATCTTTAACCTCGACTTATTTCATAAATATTGTCACGGTGGGGAATAGAAAGAGAGAAGAAAAATATTCAGACAGACAGTATATACGACTATATATATGGCAAAGTTTATATTAACCTCTATGATAATATTTATGGGAATATTGATGTCAATTAATTAATATTTCATACGTATCATTGTAATTCTTTCATATGCTCACACCTTTAGACTTGTCATTATAATTGCCACAAATACTGTCGTAGAGTCGCAATAAATGTGAAAAAATATCATAATCTTGTTACAAACAGCCTGTTTTCACGTTTCCTTACCTGGAACTCGGCTGTCGTCACCTGCTGCTGGGCTGAGGGGGCATAGGAGGGGGGCGGGGCAGCTACCCCCCCTCCTCCCACAGCTGGGGTGGGGGTAACCATGGCCGGCTGCCCTCCCACCCCCCCGGTTCCCCCTCCTGAGACGGTAGGCTGGACGTACGTGGGAGGGGATGCGACGCCCTGTAGAGTAGGAGACGGTGGTTAGTGAGAGGAAACGAAATTAAATTGTTGTCACTAGTTTTTATCTTTCTCATTTTCATGATCATTATTATCATCATCATTATTGTCATTGTTGTTATCCTTAATACTGCAAATACTATCATTTCATTATCATTGCTATTATCTTCATAATCATTATTGTCATT